GGCTTGAATAACACAGATAAACTATATTGTCGCAGTCGAGTGTTTATTGTCTTTGTTTTATCATTCAAAACGTGTATATGTTCTGTTTACTCAGTTACAGATATAATAGCATGCCTTTATCCATATAAGGGATTTCCTGGAGGGTCATGAATTCTCTACTTCTGTGACTGGATATGTGGATTTTCTATGCTACGGCGCCCTCTGGCGTCCAGTATGAATGAAACAGACATCATGTGTTTATAGTGCTAATGGCCAATCCATAATTTTTGGGGGGAATTTATATTTATTTATTTTTTAATAAGTATCGGTTCAGGCACCGTTTAGGCACCGGAACCGTTTTAAAAGTATCGATTTGGCACCGGTATCGAAAAAAACCCAAACGATACCCAACCGGAAGCACAACTCGGGAAATGAGAGCATCCGAGGAGCATGTGAATGCTATGTATATTTATTTTAAATATTTTTAATGCTCTTTAATGTTATCCTTTTTTTTGGGGCTCTTTTTTTAAAGTATCTGTTCAGGCACCGTTTAGGCACCGGAACCGTTTTAAAAGTGTCGATTTGGCACCAGTATCGAAAAAAACCCAAACGATACCCAACCCTAGTGGTAAATATAAAAATAAACTCAGAGGGAAGACAAACATTCAAGAGTTTGAATGCACACCTTCAGTATGGCCGTCTGTGTCGATGGCAGGTAGGAGTGTTCACACCTTTCCAGGTGTTTCTCTGAGTTTATCTTTCCAAATAAAAGAAGCACTACAAAACCCCTAGAAAGAGAGAAGAGAGAGATTGCAACATCATACTGGAGCATCAACAAGTGTTGCAGAGGTCAGGGATGGTTCACCCAAAAATTAAAATTAGCCCATGATTTACTCACCCTCAAAGCATCCTAAGTGTATATGACTTTCTTCTTTCAGACGAATCCAATCGGAGTTATATTAAAAATTGTCCTGGCTTTTTCAAGCTTTATAGTGGCATGGGCCATTATATGGCATTAAATGGCATGGGTGTTTTTGTTCAACAGTCCAAAAGTAGTCAAATAAAGCACGCCCATCCATATTAAAACACACATCACATGGCTCTGGGGGGTGAATAAAGGCATACTGTAGCGAATCAATGCGTTTTTGTAAGACACACTTTAAATAATGTCCAGGCTAATCCATGCTTTATAATGGCAGTGAGTGACTGTTGAGATTCCAATAAAGTGCATCCATCCATCATAAAAAGTACTTAATAAAGGGATAATAAAATCCTTCTGAAGCAAATCGATGCGTTTGTGTAAGAAAAATATCCATATTTTAAACTTTATGAACTGTAATCTCTAGCTTCGACTAACAGGTACGTGCGTTCACGAGAGAGTGGCATTCCAGGGGATGATGCTAGTCTCATGAGAACCAAATTTTGTTTACAGCAAAGAAAAACCAGTCTCCTCTTGGCTTATCGCGAAATCCTCCATTTTTCTTTACAAACCCTCGTTTTGTATTTCTAATTCGTGACCGGTGTTTAGTTTTGCTCTCTAAACTGTGCTTCCGCATTCGTCACTTCTCACCGGAGCTTACGCTACGCCTACATCATCCACTGGAACGCCACTCTCTCGTGAACGTAGGGCTGGGCGATATAGCAAAAACATTTATCAATGATATAACGTTTCATATCGTTCGGTATCGATAATTATTGACATTTTTTATAACCTTTTTTAAAACAAAGAGCAATAGAAAAAAAACTGTTTAAATTTAACCACTGTATTTTTTAATTAACCCAATTTATTGAGACAAACAACAAATATTTTTTGTTTTAACAATCAAACACAAAATAAAAATTAAACAAATATCTAATTTCTAATGTTTTATATGCAGATTAAATATGTTTTAAGGAAACTTTTGTTTTGTCTCCCGAGGCCACAGGAGGGCGCAATGAGCAAAATAATGCAGCGCATTTAAATGGTCAACGCAAGGAAATAACTGTCTATAAAAAGACGTGCATTACATCTAAATTAACTCATAAAAATCAAATATAATTCGTAAATTGCATAAACGATTATGAACAAAACAGCATCATGTATTTATGCATTGCTTAATCCAAAGAGCTGAAGCGCCATTCACACAGATTGCCTTTAAAAACATAAGAGACGCAGTGAAAAGGAATAAACCTCCACAAATTCGTGCATGTTTTCTAAAAGTTTAAACGGTTTTAACTTTGCATAGCTTTCTATACATCTCTTGTGTGAGACGCGAGTGCAGCAGTCATATTTGTCTGTCTAAAAAATGCGCTGAATATGCGTTCTGTGTGAATGGCTTGGTTTCGGTTTTAACCTAATTAAGATCTTCTCCGCATTGAGCTTTTATATTTCTCTAATATTTTGAATGAATAACGCAGCAGCGGCGCGTCTCGTGGGCTAGACTAACAAAACATTAAAACGCAACAACGTTACTTACATCATCACAGCATCTCACGATCCCTGATGCACACCTAACATTCAAATGCAAATGTTTGTTTTAAATTCGACTAATATTCATTATTTATTCACAATCTCCTCATCACAGGCAGGCACAGCACTCATTTCAGCATGTGTTCGTGTTTGTGTGTGCTGTCTGCGTCACTCATAGCACGTGCCTATATCGTGCGCTATATCAAAAATGTTTTATATCGTTATCGAGGAAGGTGTACCGTCGATAAATATCGATACCGTTTTATCGCCCAGGCCTACGTGAACGCATGCACCTGTTAGCCGAAGCTAGAGATTAGTTTATAAAGTTTTAAATATGGATATTTTACTTACACAAACGCATCGATTTGCTTCAGGAGGATTTTATTAACCCTTTATTAAGTACTTTTTATGATGGATGGATGCACTTTATTGGACTTCAAAATCTCAACACCCATTCACTGCCATTATAAAGCTTGGAAGAGCCAGGACATTTTTTAATACAACTCCGATTGTATTCGTCTGCAAGAAAGTCAGTCATATACACCTAGGATGGATTGAGGGTGAATAAATCATGGGGTAATTTTCATTTTTGGGAGAGCTATCCCTTTAAAGCGCACTGAAATGAGACGTATTTTTGATCCACTTACCCGCCAATGAAACAGAGGATGTAGAAGGCCAGATAAAAGATGGCAAAAGGTCCAAATGTGATGAGGAAGAGGACGACTCCCAGACCCCCCCATCCCCAGATGGACAGACTGGCCTGAAACACACAGAGTTAATGACATTATTTCTTATCTTTTGCTGACTGTGAGTGCTCATGCTGAAGAGCATTAATTGATCCGAATGAAAGCAGCATGAATACAGTGTAATTGAACACACACACACACACACACAGTGTAATTTTCTACAGAAGAAAACCGTGACATGATTGCAGCAACTGAATAACTGAAAGTGAACATCATCAGGGTCTAAAATGTTTAATGGGCGAAGAGAGGAAATTTACCAGCCATGAACATGCATTTTGCACTTTTTTATTAAAATTATGTTTTATCTCTACGACAAAGACATTGCTTTGTTTTTAGCATCATCATTTCAGTAGCATCAACTATTGCTTTCATGTTCATATAGGTAAAAGTCTTTTCTTTCTTTGATTTGACTGACTCATGCCAGATATAATCAGTAAGGGTCAGACTTTCGCTCGTGCACTGCAATTAAAGTAGTGAAATTACGGGCCATCTCTCCAAGCTGCACTTTGCTCTAGATCCGGGGTTTTCAAACTGGGGTCCGTGATGCAAAGCCAGGGAGTCCGCAAAATAATTTGCTATACCGTATTTTCCAGAGTGCAACACGCGTTTTTTATATTCTGAAACGTGCTATGATTTATATTCCAAAGTAGGGCTGCACGATAAATCGAAATGGAATCAAGATCGCGATTCGACAGAAGCTGCGATTGTCATGCGTATCTTTCAGTGAAGCATGGTTCTGTGATCAGCAGTAAATCTCCATCCAAAGGCCAGAGGGCGCTCTCGCGCTGAAACTCCAAATACGCCTCGCAGAAGAAACCCAGGAAATGCCTATCGCTGCAGCTGAATAAACAGAAGATTCAACTGCTTTCATTGATTCAACGTGACTAATAAACACACGACTACGGCAATATACGGTTTATCTGAGTTATTATTATTATAATTTTCATTAAAATAAAGTATATTTGTAATGCAATGCCTTTATCACTGCTTAAATACTATGAAATACGTGGCATGCCTTATTCTGTGTAAGAAGCCACATCATCTCACAGAAGGATTTATTTCAAACACTCAACTGACATTATGAAGTGAGTTTGGAGTAAAAATATGTTATTAAATGTGGTATTTCAGATGGAGCAGCATTTACTTCACAGAGCCAAACAGCTGTCATTATCACGAACGATTT